CAAGCGCCTTCCTACTTCAAGAATCGGCGCGCTTTTGCTGTGTTTTGTTGTTCTCTGGGGGGGGCCTGGGCCCAATCCACTACATCCGCCTTCCTACTCCATGTGTCTGCCTACCTCTTCCGACCGACGTGTACGCTTTTTGTTCGCCGTCGTTTGGCGCTTGGCGTTTGACGCTCCCTCCTTCGGGAGCCCCGTGGGGAAGTGCGAGGGGGCAGGCCTCCTCGCAAGGCGGCGGGGGGCTTCCCAGAAGACCTCGCGCCTTCTGCTCCTGCTTTTGCCTGCGTCGTCGGGGTAAGCCCAGAGGGCCTCCCAGAATCGGGGGCGGAAAAGAGGGGGGTGATGACTAGGGGGGGGGGATATCGTGGCGGGGGTCATGATATTTCCCTAGATTTCATGGCGCCTCTTCTTATTTCATTACGTCCCTGGCCCCCCCCGCTGGGCCGCGCACATTCCGCCGGTCATGATTTGCACCCCCCCCCCCCTCTTGGACACCCCGCTCTTGGCCGCTCCCGACTCAGAGGAGGGCGAGTCCATCGTCGCCACGGCTGGACGTAGCTCGGGGAAAGCAGGTGCGTTTGGGGCCCGGTAGGTGGTCAGGGTCCAGGGATCTCTTTCGAGATGCCGTTGGCGCAATTCGCCCTGCTCCGAGGCACTGGTACTGGTGCCGCGGCCGCTGTCGCCCCCACTTTTGGGAGACCTGCCACCTCCCGCTTCCCCCCCGGGGCTCGCCGCCAGCTCCTGCCCGAGGCCGCCGCGCCGCCTGCCGGCGCCGCCGCCGGGCAGTTCGTGGGCGTGCGCTTCGACGACGGCGTCGAGTGGGGGCTGCTCGCCGCCGTGTGCGCGGAGGACCAGCGCGAGCACGGCTTCTGGCGGCACGAGGACCGGCGAGCGGAGAGAGCGGCATCCAAAACGACGCGAAGATCGGGACAAAATCGGATCGGGATAACTCGAAATCTCTGAGAATCGGCGGGTTCGGAGGATGTATTGGGCGCCGCGGCCGCTCCAGAGCGTTCCGGAACGCTCTGAGAGCGCTCCGGAATGCTCTGGAGCGGTTTATCCCGATCCTAGCCCTGTTTTAGCATCCTCCAGGCCTCCAAGAGGGGGTCAGAGCGGGTGGGGTCGGAGGATCACGCCGCATCGCCGATGGCTCGACGATGCAGCGGCCGACGCCGCAGATGCATCGCAGTTTCAGGGGCGGTGCACTGGCATTGCAGCGAGATTCTCCGACCCCATCTACTCCGACCCCATCAGGAAGGCCTCTCAAAATGTTCGGAGGTCCGCGCGGGTGTCTGGGGCCCGGTCGGACGACAATACATACAACGGGCGGTGTTGTTGTTGGTGGTGGTGTTGTTTTTGTTTGTGGGTGTGGTGTTGTTGTTTGGTTTCGGTGTTGTTGTCTGTCATGGTGTTGTGGTTGGCTTTGGTGTTGTTGTTGGCGTTGTTGTTTTTGTTGGTGTTGATGATGGTACTTATGTGGTTGTTGTTGGTGATGTTGTCGTTGTTGGCGTTGTTGTTGTTGGTGGTGGTGGTGTTGGTGGTGGTGTTGGTGGCGTTGCTGTTGGTGTTGGTGCTGGTGAGTTTCGATGTTGTTGTTGGTGTTGCTGTGATTGTTGATGTTGGTGTTGGTGCTGGTGATGTTGTTGTTGGTGCTGGTGGCGGTGTTGTTGTGTTAGTGGTGTTGCTGTTGGTACTGGTGTTGTTGGTGTGGGTGTTGTTGGTGGTGGTGGTGGTGGTGGTGGCGTTGTGATTGTTGTTGTGGTTGTAATTGATGTTGCTGGCATTGGTGTTGCTGGTGCTGCTGTTGTTCTTGTTGTTGGTGTTATTGGTATTGATGTTGGTGTTGCTGCTGGTGCTGTTGATGTTGTTGTAGTTGCTGGTGTTGCTGCGGCTGCGGCTGCGGCTGCTGCTGCTGTTGTTGTTATCAGTGTTGTGATTGTTGCTGTTGAGCTTTCATTTTTGAAGTGAACAACTGGTTGATCCCCCCTGCCCGGTAATCATATTGCGTTTCAGTTGCAGTGTTTCTCCCAGGGTTCGCACCCGTTTTTTACAGGGAAACTTGGGTGCCACGAAACTGTACCCCTGGCTCTGGTTTGCAACAACAATGGCTCTCGCCTGAGACTTCCTCACAAGTTATTATCAAATCGGCTCTCGTGTGGGACGTCCTCACAATTCATACAGGAGTCGCGCTCTCGCGTGGGACTTCCTCACACTTTATTCAGACGCCGCGTCTTCGACACTCAGGAATCACGCTCTCGATGTGGATTTCCTCACGGTTTATGTGGGAGTCGCGCTATCGATTAAAATTTATTCGCGGTTCATGCAAGACGCACGATTCAGCCATCCTCTTGACCTGGCCGCCTGGCCCGTTTTCCCCACCCACCCGTCAGGGTCTACCCGCCCGATCTGCCTGTCAGGTTCTGCCACGTGGTTTCTGTTCCTAGCCCCTTTTCCTGCTACTCTCTCTCGGGCTCCCTCCTCTTCCCTCCCCCTTGTCCTTTCCTTCCGTTCGTCCTCTCTTCCTTTGCCTCAGGGTTTGCGCGAAATGCACACTTCAGATAAGAACGATATACCCCAAAGCGGGGCACGATCGAAGACGAAGAGGGCGGGTGTCGATGGTTTGGGATCTACGTGTTGAATGGCTCTCGAGCAGATGAGAGCGAACAGGCTTAAACTGATTGCTATTGTGGTTGGTGCTGATGTTCAGTTTTCATTTTCAAGAATAGCTATTGTTGCTCCCTCCCCTCCGCTAACCATTGTACTGTTCAATTGAAGTGCGTATCCCGGGGCTTGCGCTTTTTTTACAAGAAAAAACGTGGGGTCACCAAGCTGCTTTTTAGGCCCCTGGTTTATAACAGCGACTCCCGCACGATATTTCCCAAATGTATTCCCAAATCGCGCTTTCGCGCGGATCGTCCTCTCACTTTCTACAGGGATCGAGTTGTCGCGTTGGACTTCCTTTCAATTTATTCAGATGCCGCGTCCTCGACATTCAGGAATCACGCTCTCGCTGTGGATCCCCTCGCGATTCAATTGGGAGTCGCGCTATCGCTCCAAATGCAGGACGCACGCTTCAGCAACCCGCCTGCTCGACCTGCTCGCCTGGGCCCGCATTCCCCACCCGCCCGCTTGGGTTTCCCAGCCCGATCTGCATGTCTTGTTCTGTCAAGTGCATTCATCCTCCTCTCCTGCGTGTCCCTTCCGTCCATCCGTCCTCTCTTCACCTGCCTCAGGGGCTGCACGAAATACACGCTGCAGGTAAGATAAACCTATAGAATATATACATATCTATGTACATACACATAAATACCCCCCTAACGGGGTACGATCGAAGTCGAAGAGTGTTGGCATGGAGGGTGTGGGATATGCGTGTTCAGTGGCACGCGAGCAGGTAACAGCGAAAAGTCTCAAAATAATGATTGGCTGAATTCTCTTATTAAAGAAATACATGTTATTGACCCCTCTCTCTGGTGACCATTGCATGCTTCAGTGAAAGTGCTTCTCCCAGGGCTCGCACCCTGTCCTTCTGCAAGGGAAGGCGAGCGGTCACCAAACTGCGTGGTTGGGCCCCGAAATACAGCAACAACGGCTCCCGATTCAGATTGCCTCTTAAGTTATTCCACAATCGCGCTCTCGCGCGGGACTTCTTCATAATGTATGCAGGAATCGCGCTCTCGCGTGGGACTTTTTCGCAATTGATTCAGGAATCGCGCTATCGCTCCAGACTTCCTCGCGAGTCATGCAGGACGCATGCTTCAGCAAGCCGCCTGCTCGACCTGGCCGCCCGGCCCGCCTTCCGACCCGCCCGTTAGGATCTACCCGCCCGATCTGCCCGTCCGGTTCTGCCACGTGTATTCTGCTCCTAGCCCTCCTCCTGCTAGTTTCCCTCGTGCTCCATCCTCCCCCCCCTGTCCCTTCCATCCGTCCTCTCTTCCCCTGCCTCAGGGACAGTACGAAATACACGCTGCAGGTAAGAAAGATTTGTACTCCCAAGGGGGGTACGATCGAAGACGAAGAGGGTTGACATCGAGGGTTTGGAAGATACGTGTTGAATCGCACGCGAGCAGATGAGAGTGACCAGTTTAAAACAAATGTCTGTGACTGTTGGATCTGAGTTATCAAACAAGTATTGTTGTTGGACCCCCTACAGGCACCCTGGCGCTCTCGCCTCGGCGTTGCCTTCAATGCCTTTCTGCGGAATCGGCGCACGCTAAGGCGTTTCAGGGGTGCACCGAAACTCGCCCGTAACAACAACAGCGCTCCCGCCAGATACTTCCTCTTTCTCTGCTCGGGGCCAGGGCTCCTGCTCGCCGCCGAAAGCTGACTTTCCCACAAAACCGGCGCTCCCGCTCGATACATCCTTGAGACTGGAGAGGCCTGACGGCCGGTGCCGCCGACCCTGATCGAAAGGGCTAGGAGTGGGGGGATGAAGCGGAGAATGAGGAGGAGGCGGAGGAGGAGGAGGAGGAGGAGGAGGAGAAGGAGGAGGAGAATGAGGAGGAGCAGGAGGAGGAGGAGGAGGAGGATGAGGAGGCTCGCCGCCGAGAGCTGGCTGTCCCACAAGACCGGCGCTCCCGCTCGATACCTCCTTGAGATTTGCAGGACCCGGCGCTCCCGCCTCGGCGCCGCGAGCGACCCCTCCTGCAAACGCTGACGCTCCTGTTCGATACGCCCCCGGCTTCAATGCAAGACTCCAGGCTTTCCTAGTCCATGCTGCACCTGAACTGGTAAAGAGTGGCCCAGAATCGGCCGGTGCTATCTGCGCTGTCGGAGAGCCGCGATCGTTCAGGATGGAGCCATCCACGAGGCGTCGGAAGCCAACGCCCGGGTCGTCGCCGCGCGAACCTGCCGCATGTGCGTGCCGCTTCTCTTGGCATCGCTCGGACGTGTGCGTTCTTTCCTCGGCGAGGACCATCGAGGAGCATCCTTGATCATTTCGCGAAAAAACGAAGCACGAAACCGAACAAAAAACACAGGGAATGGACGCCCGAGCGATGGCGAGCATGTGCGTGCCGCTTCCGGCCTGCCAGAGGAGGTCCACTGCCGGCGCCCCTGCGCGAAGGTGCTCTTCCCGGAGGGCCACGCGCTGTTCCTGGGCGCGTGGCCGTCCGGGCCGCGGGGGGTGCTGGTGGACGAGGACGGCGACGCCCACAGGTTCGAGCTGCGCGACGCCATGCCCCAGTGCGGTCGGGCGAACGAGGGGGGGAGCGAAAGAAGGACGTACGCGTACATGAATCCACGTTGTTTTCGAGATTTCGCATTGCGCTTATACTCGTATCACGCGGCCGGTCTCGCGGGTCAAGGGGCCGTGTTCATGTACAGAGTTGGGTTACCAGCCTGGAACATATCCCTGATCCTATGCTGGGCACCTCCTCATCACGGTGCCAATTTCAGGGATTCCCTTATTTTTTTGGGGGCGGATCCCTAAGGTTGTCATCGCCCTTGGGCGTGTCAATCTTAGGGATAGGGATACCTTCGAGGCTGGTTAGAGGGGGGGTGGGGGGGGGGCAGGAGATCGGGCATTGGCAGAAGGGGCCCCCAGACAGGGCGACGGAGGAACTTCTGCACGGGCGCACTCGGCACTGGCAGTCGAGCTGGCCGGTGCATTCCGCCCCCGGTCTCTCTCGCCAGTCGACGCGCGTTGCGCTGGATGGAGTCGGCTGTTGTTGGGCGTCGACCAGCTACCCCGACTTCGAACGCGGTGCCGTCTGCACGTGGAGTACCCCTGGCAATTTTCACGAAGGGGCGTTTTGCCAAGGGTGGTCCTGTCCAACCGCGAGGGGTAGGTAAAGTGGGGGCGGCGGGAAATCTAGTGCATGCAGCTGGTTTCGGCCCCGCCGCTTGGCGCCTTCCTCGATCCACTGGCGCCATCCGTGCTGGGAGGCGCAGGCGAAGAAAGTTGCGCGAGTTGATTCGCGCACCTCCCTCACGTTTATTGATCTTCTTGTTCGCCCGACCCAGCCAGCGCGCAGCTCCCGAGCCGACCACCCCGCGCGCGCCCGCCACTGCAGCGGCGCCAGGCCACAACTGTCCAGCCGCTGGTGGGACCTCCGAGGTGACGCTAGACCTGGACGACCTCGGTCCCGCGCCGCCCGCGGTGAAGATGCGCCGCGGGTTGGGGGGCTGCCCGGATGTGCCAACCAGATCTGTGAACGCGCTCGTCGAGAAGTGCTTGCATGAAGGGGGTTCTGGTCGACCCGAAAGGACCTGTGACGCCCCGATGGTTCGAGTTGTGGTTCTTGGCCTTGTGCCTTATGGGTGGCGCTCTAAGGCTAGGCTAGTACACCATGATGCATCAGTGCCTTGGTGCCTGTGGGCTAAAGTGTGGTGCTTTGCTGGTCGAGATGTCACAACGTTGGTGGCACCTGGGTGGTACTCTATGGCTGATGCCATGCCAGAATGGTTGCAAGATGCTCTTCGGTGCCCTCCTGGTTTTGCTCAATGGCCGGCACCATAAGTTGTCCCAACGGTTGCGATTGATCGTGCTTGCCCTGGTGCCCCATGGTTGGTGCTCGATGGCAGGTTTCCTACGATTATCCTGAAAAAGGCTAGCACTGAGTGGTGACTGTTTGCTTCGTAAAGAATTGCGGGTAATTGCAGCGCATTATGGTTATTGCCCCGACGCCACATGGAAGTCGGATGCAGACAATGGTTGCGATGCCTCGCCGTTGCCTTGGTGTCCTATGGGTGATGCTCTGTGACAAGTGCCTTACGATTCCTTAGCGGCTGTGGTTTCTCGATCTTGCCTTGTTGCCCTATGGGTAGTGCTCGATGGTGGTGTCACAGGATGGCGCTGAATGATTGTGAAATATAGCAGATGCCTTGGTTCACTGGAGGTGTTGGTCCAAGGCTGGTGCCTTGATGGCTTCCATGTCGTGTTCTGGCCCTGGCGCCCTACGGGCGGTGCGGTCTGGCTGCCGCCCTGCGATGCTCCAACGGTTGCGATGTCTCGTTCTTGCCCTGGCGTCTCCCGGATGGTGCTCGATGCCTGGCGCCACGCGGTGCATTCTTGCAGTGAAGTCGGTGTTTGCTTCTTGTCCTGTTGCCCTCCGGGTGGCGATTCAGGGCTGGCACGCTGTGATGCTCTGTTGGTCAGGGTTCTCGATGTGGTCCTCGTGCCCTATGGCCGGGGCCCTAAGGCTGGGGCCACATGGTTGGCGCCTTGGCCATGGCGCCCTAGGTGGCGTGCCCCACGGCTGGTTCCCTATGATGTCTTCATGGTTGTACCGTATGGGTGTTGCTTGTTGTGTCCTGTTAGCCTATGGGTGGTGTTCTAAGGTTTGTGCCATCTGACATATTACTGGTCGCGACTTTCTTTGTTCGCCCTGACGCGTCAGTGGTGACGTTCTATGGTTGGAGCCATGTGATTTCCTAATGGTTGGGCTGTATCGCCACTCGCCTGGAATTGCACCACACAGAATGGCATCGAGAGTGAACTACGCAACCTATTGTTTGGTGTCCATGGTGGCAGTACTTTGGCGTTCTTTCCCTTGTGTATCTGGGGAAGTCCCTGGGAGATCCCGACGTCCCCTGGAGAGGGATGTTTGGGTCGCGAGTTACATACAGTGGGGTCGCGCATCAAGAAACCATATGCTTTTCGCCAGGGTATCCTGGGTTCCTTCGCTCCTCGCGCTGCGCGGTGACTTCCCGCAGCCGTTGAAGGAGCCACTGCGTTCAAGGTACTCCGGGTTTCCCCTCAGGTGTACCTCGCGCACGGGTTCTCAGTGTTGGGCTTCTTGCGAGGGTTTCTTGCGGCCGCGCCCGCACTGAACTCCTGGGCTCATCCGATCCCTTGCTGGTCGGCGGGTCTGTGTTTCCTCAGCCAGCGCACCGAGCCTGGGCCGCCGGGCGGACCCGACCAGCGAGCGGCGCGGGCATGTTCGGACGGCACCAATCAGGGCGAGAGAGCCGCGGCGCGCGAGGCATCCCCCAGAGCCGCCAGACCTCAGAGATCCTCGATCCGTCCCAAAACGACGAGTCTCGTCCTGGCCTCGCCTTCCACTTGCGGTGCCCTCAGGCTGGGGCTTCGTGGTGGCGGAGAGGGACGAGGCCCGCCCCGGGCCGCGAGGGGCGAACGCCTCCGCACGGTCAGGGCGTCGGAAGCAGGGCCGCGTTGGGCTCGGGAGGGGCTCGGGTCTTCGGGCTCCGCCCCCCTTCCAGGCCTCCCGGGTGGGGTCGGAGTAAATCGGGGCATCGCTCGGACGTGTGCATTTTTCCTTCGGCGAGGACCATCGAGGAGCATCCTTGATCATTTGGCGAAAAAGCCACGCACGAAACAGAAAAAAACACAGGGAATGGACGTCCGAGCGATGGCGAGAGATTCAAGGGGTCGGAGGACTGCGCCGCGTCGCCGAGGCCTCGGTGAGATGCGGCTCTCGATTCGGAGCCCGACTCTCGCCTCGCCGACGGCGCCGATGCAGCGCCGCCGTCGCCGGGGCATCGCCGAGGCGGCGCCGATACGGCGCCGATGCATCGCCGAGGCATCGGCGATGCGGCGCGATCCTCCGACCCGATCTGATCGGACCCCATCTATCAGGAGGGAGAAAAAACACACAGACACAATTATTTGTGGAGTCCCCAGAAAGTATTGGAACATATGGGAAGAGTGGGGGGGAAGACAGAAGCCCAGAAAAGATGGGAAAATATGGGGAATCCTGTTATTTGTGTGTGTGTGTTTATTTGTATGTCTCAGGGCCCCTCCATTCTTGCCCAAGACCCCGACCCCCGACGCCACGTGTTTTTTCACGAAGCCGACCCCTGAGACCTCGGCCCGTTCCTCGGGACCGGCGTCCAAGCCCGTGTCTTTGTTTGACGGTCACATTGGGAAACTATGGGAACATATGGGAAATTAGTTGTGTGTATTTCTTTGTGTGTCTCGGGACCCCTTCAAAATATGGGAACATATGGGAACATAGTTGTGTGTATTTCTTTGTGTGTCTCGGGACCCCTTCAAAATATGGGAACATATAGGAAAAGAGTTGTGTGGTGTATTTCTTTGTGTGTCTCGGGACCCCTTCAAACTATGGGAACATATGGGAAATTAGTTGTGTGTATTTCTTTGTGTGTCTCGGGACCCCTTCAAAATATGGGAACATGTGGGAAAAGAGTTGTGTGTATTTCTTTGTGTGTCTCGGGACCCCTTCAAACTATGGGAACATATGGGAAAAGAGTTGTGTGTATTTCTTTGTGTGTCTCGGGACCCCTTCAAACTATGGGAACATATGGGAAAAGGAGTGGTGGTGTTATTCTTTGTGTGTTTCGGGACCCTTAAAACTATGGGAAACATATGGGAAATTAGGTGTGTGTATTTCTTTGTGTGTCTCGGGACCCCTTCAAAATATGGGAACATATGGGAAAAGAGTTGTGTGTATTTCTTTGTGTGTCTCGGGACCCCATTCAAACTATGGGAACATATGGGAAAAGAGTTGTGTGGTGTATTTCTTTGTGTGTCTCGGGACCCCTTCAAACTATGGGAACATATGGGAAATTAGTTGTGTGTATTTC